GTCGTGCATGTGTTTGGCTCTTTGTGAATTTTCAGGAAAACGTGATGACGTGATAGACTTGGGTTTCCAAAATTCTAGCTTGAGTAATTAAATACCTCGAAAATCAAAACAAATGAACTATTTTTGGGGCGGTCAGGTGTCTCATTTAGGTAGCTGGGTGTTTATTTTGACAAAAACCACGAGACTGGAAAAGAAAATATGGCACTCAGGTTTAGATGTTGAGTTTAGTTAACCCAAAGTAGGAGTGGTGCGTGAGTCATAATAAAAAAAAAGCTGAGGTTAAAATTAATTCGCAGCAATAAATGATCAGAATTCATTTTAATACGAGTTCAATGATAAATGCAGTGACTGGACAGGCAAAAATTCTTGGTCTGTGGATAGCTTGTGCACATAGTTTAAGCAATGTGCCAGTCTTAATTTGGAGATTTATGCGCGCCAGTAGCGGTGTGCAGAAATGAAAAAGATGCAAACGGGTACAGTTTGACGTTGTATAAAATCTAGAGCAAGCACGCACAGGTACGCTGATTAAGACTGAAACAGCACTACATTTTACACTGCCGTTGAGCGTATCAAGTGAAGGGTCCATCAAAAGCTAAAGCTTGTACATATCTACTGCTTAGACCGTTATGTTTGAATGTTCATAGTACTTTATTACCCTCAGAGTTCGTGTAAGTTGCCTCCTGATTGCTTACACCAGAAAAGAAGGAAACATTCTAACTCTGTGTTAACAGCAAAATTCCACCCGGTGACAGCTACCAATCATCTAGGCGGCGATTATGAGTATTCACTGCATGCCGACGGCCGCGTGCTTAGAACGAGTTGTTCCCACGTTATTTCATTCAATCGCAATTGTTCTTGAGAAGCAACACTGTTTACTCGGGCAAACGGTCACATGTGAAGTTTAAAATATATTGTATTAATTGTGGCACGCGAGGCAAGTTGCGTAGTTTTTTTTTTTTTTTACAATCCGCGAAACAGAATGCTCCTGGGTTGCCTTGGCCTCTAATGCATGAAGCACACCGAAGAGCACGAACTGAATAGCAGTGGGAAACGAAAACAATAATGATAAACAAGCGTATAATCTCGCAAAAACCGAGGGCATTCCACATATGCAGAAGGCAAGCTTCGTTTCACTAAATTCATTACCAGTACAGTATGTGGTTTTATCGTGCGAGCGAAGCGGAACATACAAGTGCGAGCACGCTGCCCTGAACTACACTTCCAGTGAACAAGCGCACCATCCAAAACATGGAGCTCGCTTTTATAGCTTTCGGTGCGCTCAAACGTTTTAAAACACAATTATAATCAATTCTATTATTTCAATTCTGTTTATTAAATGCGGCTATGTTTTTTTGTTTTTTGTTTTTTTGTAGTTTACGTTCATGTGCCATTTTCTTAGTTTTATAATATTTTTTCCAGAAGTCCGATAGCTATAGTCTGTTTCATTATAAGTCAACGCCGCGTAATCAAAAGTGCAGACAAGAAAAAAAAAAAAACGAACGCGAACACGCCAACGCAGATTAAAATTGCAATGTAACGGCACTGTCAAAATTAGTCGTTATTTTTTTTAGAGAGCAGGAGTTTTGTACGGCGACATTATTACCCGTTGTAGATTATAAAAAGGGCAGTACAACTCGTATCTCGGAGGCTTTAACGTGCATTACGCAGTATATGTGACACACGATCGCACGACTCTTGGATGCAGATGGGTGACAGAACCCAGGGTCCCTGCTAAAGCCCCCTGAGAAAGGCGTTTTTTATAAGTACCGCAAACCGATGCTGTGGAAACGCGCAAGACACGTGCCAAGAGCGGGTGCTCCGCCGCCATTCGTTTTGAAGAGCCAGTCATTTTATACCCTTGTTACACGGGCACACTTAACTGCAGTTACGCTAAACCACAATTAGCGCACAATATTTGCCGACAACATTCTGCGGCGATGGAGTCAGAGCTATGGGCGAACGTGCGCTTGAGCATCTTGAGCACCCATCAAAGCAGTGCACGCGCTCTCTTCACTTCTTTTGAAATAGCTGTCCGAGGGTATAGTGCGGCGACTCTGCTGCCACGTAACCGCAGTTAAAGCTGAGTTAACCGCGGTTAAGTGTGCCCGTGTAACAGGGGTATTAGTGCTGCGCCGTCATTTGCGTCCAAGGGCCGCTCGAGACACGGGCCTGGTGCCCTGGCACATTTTACTTTGCTTGAAAGACCAACGTAAACACATCGAGGGGCTTTAGTCCCTATAGGTTCTGCAGCGTGAGCTCCGTGCTTTGAACGGAGCTCGGGCACGCGCATTTCTCCACGTGCTCTGAACTTTGGTGCCACAATACACTCGGTTAACCAACCCCCCCCCCCCCCCCCCCCGGCACTTGGTTTGGCCTAGTGAGCTAAACCAAATAAAGAACGCTTAGAGAATAGGCACTGTTTACCCCATTACTGTTGTAGGCGCCCCCATCTTGGTGGTTAGTACAAAGCAAACGCAACCGCCGATCGTCATGATTCAAAAGTGCGACTTCCTCCGCATTAGTTTCGGTGTTAAGAAGCTCACATAATATTGCTTTGCTTTGTCGCGAACTGTTTAAACATTTGTGGAGGACCGAAAAGCGTTTCCTGTGATTTCAGATAAAGCTTTAGATAACTGACAACCATGATTTTAAGCACCAAGATGTGTATGAAGCGTGCTTTATTTAGAGGCTCTAGTTTAGCCCGACCACACCGGCACAGAAAGAGAACGAGCTGCTTGACCTCGCGCTCTTGGCGCTGCTTCAGTGGCTTCATCAGCTCATAGCGTTGGCTGCGCTCCGAACTATGGTAAAGCAAAGCAAATATTCACATCTTTCGGTTTTACAAGCCAAACCAACAAAAATCGCCCAACACGCCCAACAAAAACAAGAAAAAAAAAACATTGCGGGTTTATTTTTTTTTTTGTAATTGGAGATCTTTTAACGTGCAACCGACATCCCAGATTGGCCTCCGTCAGAGTGCGGGCACCTCGGCCGGTATTTAAATCCGACAGGTATGGGTTCATGGGCCAGCGCGTTGGTTCTGAGACACTGAGACGTTTTAATGTTTTGTGTTTTGTTTTAATACCATTGCTAGTTAAGAGCCACCAAGGCGGTTTTCGTAATAAAATATAGTCGAACCATTGCGACAAGCATAGTTTGATTGCGAAAACGATTTTTGCAGTAGATAAAAACATTAAAATATTGTCACATACGTGGCGGAATCCGAAATGGCAGAATCCCTTTCATGGCGCTCATTTAATTTGGACCGCGTCGGGCATATGTACCGACACACAGTAAAACGCGCGCAAAAGCAGCTGTGGTGCATCCGCAGCCTCGCGCTTGTTGTTCTGACATCTCTGGCTAGCTCACTGCAAGTATCCAGACATCTGACACCCTTGCATCTGGCACTTTTTCTGTCTTTCACATGGCGTTCCAAGTGGCACATGACGGAAAATGCAGATTTTGGGTTATGGGGATACTTATACAGCGTGTAGTTGGTCAGCCATTGAAGTTGCGACGAGTCACACGCTGTAGATGAGCAATTTAGCCAGTGCAGTACAACCGCTAGCCTGGGGTCTTTAACATGCACCACGCAGTAGTGATACACGACCGCACGCCGGTACGATGCTCATCCAGATCGAAACGGGCAGGGGGTGAGGCTCGAGCCCAGGATCCCTGGGTTCTGCAGCGCGAGCTTTCACTCCACGCGCGTCGAGCTGGGTGTGCGCTGTAGCCCACTCGGCGACCGATTCCCCCTGAAATGCAGATCAAGCTGCTATTGAGCGCGTGTCGCCATCTGTATTTTATATTAAGAAAAATAAATTTTCCCTAACTGAATGTGAAAAGCTTGAGGTCTAATAACATTCTTAACGTGAAATATATCAATATGAAAGTTCTGAAAATGTAATATTTTAGGATGCTTCATAATTTAATGCCTCATAATTTTGATTAGTTGATTCGATTCTGTTCTACAGCACCCAAAAATAATATCATTTTAAACTTTTTTTTATTTTAAAATATACATTATCTGTAAAGTCCAATGCTTACTTTTTGAATTTATTACATCCAACCGAACGTTCACGCTAAATATCGCGGACGATGTGAAGTTATAACTTGAGAAATATTTTTTTTCAATATTAGAGATTCTGGTTTATTAAAAGTTAAATAATTAACTAACAACTAAAAATAATCGTAATATCGAGACATTAATATAGTGTTGAAAAACAGCTTTTTAATTTGACATTTACTTGATAATTGTAAGATAGCTAGAAAGAAAGTTATAAGCTGTCAAAAATGCACCAAAACGTCATGCGCGGTGGGGATTCACCTTAAGGCCCCTTGATATGTTTTTGTTTATCGTGCAAGTAGCGACAAATGTGCCAAAGCAAGAGGCCCGAATCTCGTGCAGCTCTTGGAATAAAATGGTGGTGCAGCACTGAAGTCAGAAACCCTTGAAAGCAAATAGACATGCAGCACTCGTTCGAAGAATATGCCTTGTCTGATCGCACCATAATGGCAGCCGGTACTTGGAAGCAGCTCGAATCGTGAATTTTAAAAAGGGAGGATTTAGCCTCGCTTAAAAATCCCTTGATAAAACTCATGATTCAAAAACACACACCAAGAGACTCTAGACTAGCTCTTTCTTACTGTCACTGGTTTGGCGGCCGGTTCTGGCACTGACCTTGCTGTCTTTTCCTCTATATAGGATGCTACGATGAATCACTAGCTTGTTCTAGTTGGCACTATTTTCTAGCTTCGAAACTGCGCCCCCTAAACACCTTTCTAACGCATATCACCTGGGCATAAAATGCTGTGTCACTGGGCTAGGGGGGGGGGGGGGCATGCGCGGCATCTGGTCATCCGTAGAATGGAGAAAGCGCGCACGCGCGGAGCGTGCTCATCAGCCCAGCAGAAAAACATTCCAGCACGCAGAAGGCGATTATTGGAGTGGTCTATATTTAACAGGCTACGGGGAAGAAAAGCCGAAGTCCACGAAACTAATGCCTTTGTCTTTTCAGGACATCTCCAAGCTGAAGTCCTTCTCACCGCCTTTAACCAAGACAATGACGGAACGTGAAGTCATGAACAGCCCAATGTTTCTCATGTTTTCCGTCCTATGCGTGAGCGTCTTTATGATCATAATAATCGTGATCATCGGTGCGCTCAGGGGCTACAGGAGAAAAACAGAATACTGCGAGACAGAAGACTGCCGCATTCACGCCGCTATCTTGAAGATGGCCATGAACCCTGCGGTCAATCCTTGCGATAATTTTTACAAATTCGTCTGCGGCTCCTGGAAAGGCTCACAATCCATAGTGACGACTTCCAGCGCGGATGACGTTACCCTCAGAGTGTACGCATCTGTCATTCAAACGTTGCTGCGAGAAGACACCCAGCCAAACGTGCCGAAGAAGCTCTTTCGGACGTGCAACACCCCAACATCTTCGAACAGGAAAGACGTGGAGAGTTTCAAAGAGATAAAGAAGGACATCGGCATTTTGTGGCCAGAAAAACGTCAGACTTTCGTACATCCATTGGACCTTCTCTTAAAGCTGTCCATCAGGTGGAACTTTAACTTGCTCTTCAATGTTCGTGTCATCCCGGCGTCAAGGCGTCGGAACAGGACGCTGTTATTCAGCGAGGGCATCATCGCCGCCAGCTTCCAGGAACCGCTGGTTAACACCATGTCCATCACCGCTTTCCAGAGATACGTGGAGGAGCACTACAAGATACTCGGCGCATCTCCGGACACCAATCTGCGAGAGCTTATGGCGGCTGAACGTGTTATCCTCGCTGCCGCACTACACATTAGGCAAGGGGTGCCGGAGCAACTGGCCGTTCCACTCCAATCGATGCAAAACTTCACTCCTACGGTCGAACCGGAGCAATGGCTCCAGTTACTCAACAACTATTCAGAGCCGGAGCCTCCCTTCACGCTAGAACAGATCGTCATTGTTGAAGACGCCAGGTTACTTCGCAAGATCGGAGAGCTGCTCAAGAACCACCCCGCAGAGCAGCTTGTCATCGGCATCGCCTGGATCTTCATTCAGTCATACCTGTGGGCGGTCTCAAGCTCCCCCACAATTAGATTCGGGAAAGCCGATACCATCAACCGTTACAAACCAGTCGTATGCTTGGAGTACATGAACGCTGCTTTGGGCTTGCTGGGGGCGACAGAGTACCTGCAGTCAAAGTTTTCAAGAACTGCGCAGCTTTGTGTTCATGACATGGTTCGTAACCTCACAAAATCCGCCAAGTCCAAAATTCATTCCTCGCCGTGGATTAGCAAGAAAATCAAAATTCTGGCACTGGACAAGTTAGAGGACATGTACCTCGACGTCTGGCCAATCGACGACGACTTCGGCGGCGAGACATCATCGTTGTTGTACAGCCGTCTCGGAAATATGACGGACTCGTTCGCCGAAAACCTCGTGACTGTCACAGAAAACATGCGCCCACTGATCAAGCTGGACCCCATCAAAGCCATTCATTCGAAACAGATAGCGCCGCCTTCGGGCTTTCTTTCTTACCTATATTATCTCAATCAAATCAGCGTAGCCCCTGGAGGCGTTGACGCTCCCAGGTTCTACGTGAACGGCACGCTCGCTATGACATACGGTGGCATTGGGATCTCGCTAGCAAGGCAAGTGGTCAAGGCGTTCGATCCGTTGGGAATAACAATTGACGACCGCAGTAACGCCGTGAAATGGGTAGACACAGCCACTTTATCAGCTTACGCGGCCAGAGCGAATTGCAACAAGACTGGCGTGTCTGCTTTTCCCACCGTAGTGGCACTCGAGGTGTCTTACTCGGCCCTCAAGCAGGCTATTGAGGACCAAGACGTGCCGTTTGCAGATTTCCGACTGCGGGGCCTCAAGGAGTTCACCGAAGACCAGATACTTTTTATTACATATTGCAACGGACTGTGCTCTCTGAGTCGAGAGGATAGCGAGAGCGAGTGCAACCTGCCCCTGAAGCGGTTTCCCCCTTTCGCAGAAACGTTCAAGTGTGCCATAGGTACACCGATGAATCCGTTACGCAAGTGTGTTTTCTTCAGCAATTCATCCGCATAATAGCTTTTTTTTCTTTCTTGCAATTTAGTTGATATCGTGTTATATAATTTAATTTGTATCTCAGTGGGATGAACAGAAAATGCAGAGTGATGAGGGATTGCGCGGTGTGTTTTAGTCGCCTTATTAAAACGACTCCAGAGTTTCTAACTTTTTTTTTATATACCAACGCAGACGAAGGACCAGGACTGACAAAAGATGGCGTTTGTTTTTAGGCGTTGGCTTTTTAAAAGTAGGATGAAAATTCAAAACAAAGTTTTTCGGAATAATGCGGAAAAAATAATAATCATACCAATATGCGTATATCATAGCAAGTTTTAGTATTGTGTGGGTATTAGTATCAAACCCAAGCATTGTGCGTTTGAATTTGCTTTTATACTAAATATTAAAACTCTGATAGCCACTTAACGCGACTAAAACATATGCACGCTATTTAATTTTGTTCTCTTAACGCAGGCTTTTCCTAAGACATTTCACTAAAATGCGGTGGCGGATCGGTCAACAACTCCGATAGGGGACACTTTAACTTAGTTGAAGTATCCGTTTAAAGTATCTGAACATCCAGTGATTCACCACAACCATGTGCTGCGTGTCATGCTTGACTCGTCAACACACAAACTTTAACTCGCTTGGAAAGGAAGTGACTCGTGATGTCGGCGGCGGAATGTTCCTCCGTCATTCCATTTCGCTGTTGAGGGCGACCTTCCTTGGACAGTGAAAAGGACTGCGTTACGATGGACGTTACACCAACAAACCTCGTCTTCAAAAACGAGCTTGTGCGCATAGCGAGAGTTATTGCTTCGAAAATAGCCCGAGTGCCAATGGCCGCAAGCGGACTTCAAAGCAGACGCCACCTCGGTTGCTGATAAGGGCAGCGCTGCTCTAACACTCCCGCCGTCTCCCAAGAGCGTTTCCTGTGTTTTTCCAAAAAAAAAAAAACAATTCCGCTCAACGTTTTACTTTAAAATAATTTGTTGTTCTACTTGTTGCTTTCTTCACCCTACTGGAAATATAGCGTGCTGACTGAGAAAAAAAAAAAAAAAAACTGTAGACTACGCATCAATGCCTATGCACAACCTTTTTTTTCCCTTGCCTGTAACATCAGGCAATCTCTTTTTTTTTTTAATTTTGCTTTGATTGTTAAAGGCTTCTGTGGCAACAGTAACTTCAACTTCAACTTTTGCGCTTGATTTCCTTTTTTATTAAAAGACTCCTCATTTTGTTGATTGTATGAAAGATGTATAAAATCTCAGAGATGTTTCAACGTAGCTAGTCGAAAGCCATAAAGCTGGGGCCACACTGCTCATAGATCACACAAAATGAAATCTGGCAGACATCAATCAAGGCCGGTTCGAAAGTCGCGTGCCAAGTTTCTCCTTCAACTCGTTGGCGTGCGGGTTTCAGAGAAATTGGAATCTCACGATGGCTGGCATTCAAATTTGTTTGCAGACTGTCTTTTGTATAACGTATAAGCAGCGTGAACCCGGTTTAGAGGTGTTGGAGAAAAGTCTAACAATCAATAAAAATAGCATATGCGATACTAATATTTGAGAAAAAGTGAAGACTGCACGTGCGCAGTTTTGATCAGCTATCAAGGTACGCGAGCGCACGGGTAAACCATAGATTTGAGTTCAGCGTCAGAAAAACTTGTTCCGGATTATGCGGAGTGCATGTGAGAGTTGAATGGAACAGACTTGAGCTGAGCTAGTTGGTTCATAGTTCACTTAAGGCCAGCTGAACTAGAAAAACCGTACACAAAGGAAAAGACCATTCACACCGCTGGACTAACAACTGATTTTCTTTTTCCTCCTCTTCTACTACGAGCCACACTTGAGGGAACAATTCTCTTTTCCTCTTTTTTGCTTTCTAATTCATCTTAAAATTTTTTCCGTTCTAATTCCCCTTAAAATTTTTACCCCCGTAGAAAACTTTTTTCTTTCTCGCGCAGCACGAGAGAAAGTGCACTAATGCAGTCATCGCCTTTTTCCTCAATGGCAAGTGCCTCTAGGATTTCACGTTCCAGTTTTGCCGTGTTCTTTGCCACGATGTTTGCGTCGTAGAGCAGTGCCGAACATTGACACGCACGACAATGGATTGGCAAGTGTCCTCCTGCTGACAGAGTTTTCACTGATGCAGCGTGCTCCCTCGTCCGATCGTTAATGCATCGGCCGGTTTGTCCGATGTAGCTTCGGCCGCACGTCAGCGGAATGTGTTACACTACCTCCTTTTCACACAGGGCGTATGGAGACTTGTGAACTGTGCCACGCCTCTTCTCGTTGTTACTTCGCTCCCTGTTAACCCTGCGACACATGGAAGAGGCTTTGTTTGGAGCCGAATACACCACCTGAACGCCTTGCCGTCCAGCAACTTTTTTCAACTTGTGGGTCATCCCGTGAACATAGGGTGCTACCACCACCGCATGTCGAGTTTTTTTTCTTTTGCTTTGTGCTTTTATTCGTGCACCCTAATCCGCGCTTGATGGTCCTGCACACCTGCTCGCAAGTCGCTACCAGGAGCGATTTTGGATACCCAGCTGGCTGTAGTCTCGAGACCTGAGTTTCAAAAGTTCGCTAGACTTGATGGTGACAGGTCTCCTTTAGGACGAATATAATGGCTGTGGTGGCCACCCCTCGTTTTACATTCTTGGAGTGCCCCGAGCCAAAAAGGTAGAAAGCGACTGTCTTGCTTGATCTGATTGCGGGGAGAGAACGTGTAGAGAGAGAGGAAGTTTTAGTCACTGACAAAGCGAGAACGGCAAGGCCTGTCTTTCGAACGCTCGACTTCAGAACCGCCCCGTGCCTTCCACCGTGCTTTATATTCGCGCGCGCACTAGGGGCCCCAGACCCCGAAGCGTTGTAAAAGTTAGCAGTTGTCCCGCGTTGGAAGCGGGACAACTGAAGCTCCTCCCTGTCGTCCTCACCTTTTCAATGACTATTGGCTATTTTCATAACGTGTTTTCGAGCCTAGTTTCCTGGCTCCGCCTTTAGACCACCAGGTGCTGTGAACATCGTTCGCTCTAGAAAGCTGGCGCACGAACCTGCCGCTACATCTTTCTGCTCTAGCAACTTGGTGGTGTCAATATCCCAGAAGTCGCCTATTACATCTGCATCCACCCACAGGCTTTCCGTTCAGAGCTCGGCTGAACCATATATTGCGAGAGTTTGGCCAATAGGCGGAGCAAAGGCCGCCGCCAGCGCCGAATATTCTCCCCGTGGTTAGAGCGTAAACTAAACATGCGACAACGCGTCGACCACTCAGTAAACGCGACGTAACAATATTGGAAACGACGTTTAAATCGTGAAATAGAATCGTTCAATCCCGGCGTCTCGTTGACAATGGCGTTAATAGCAAATCAGAAGCAGTGATCGTTTAGTGACCAAGGCGTTGACGAGTTGATTGCGGCTACCAAGGAACTATTTGAATCGAGCTAATATTTGAGACAGTAGTCCAGATTCCGCGCTTCTTTCTGGACAAAAATATGACTGGTGAGTGAGCGCCAATCAGATCAAAGAGAGAAGACGTCGGGATCTCCACTGACACAAATGGGTCTGCGTTGACACCCGGTCTGCGCTGGCACTTTCAGAATTCAGAAGCCACAGGTGTCACGATATATCCTGCGAGCGTGAGCACCCCGCTTTTGTTCCCTGCTCCGCCGCTCGAGTGTACGCGTACTGGGGAAGAATCTTTCAAAGCTACCGGCTCGCGCTTGTAGCCTCTGCGGTTAGCCCATGTTTTGTCGAAGTATAAATACCACTTCCACGTGTTGCGCGATTCTCTTGCTTGCAAAAGCTGCAAGCGAAAGAACAGCGAGCTAGGAACCGTGTGAACTGTTTGGCTTGTGTGTGTTGCACATGAGAACAGTCTACCACAAAACTTGTTGACGCACTAATGGGTGGTACCAGAAAAGGAGCCACACAAAGAGTCGGGCTCAAGTCGGGCTGCGCACCGCAACCACGCAGTTTGGTCTGGTTTGAAGCGCACGTTCGTTTATTCTACCGTTGAATTTTTACGCGACAAAAACCTCACATGCGCCAAGTTTTCAGTCACCAAGTGTTCAAGCTTTCCACTCTAGTGGCGCTAAAATGGCTTAAATTAGTGGAGTCGCAATTTTAGAGGTCATGACCACCCGTAGGTGCTATTTCGCGGCCTGTGGTTGACCGCAAGATGCTTTTCCCTTGAATCCAATAATTGGCCAAACTCTCCAAATAAACAACTCTGGAGTTTGGCGCTCTGAGAAAACAGCACCTGCCGCACGAGATGCACGGAGCTCTGATTGGAAGGATGGTGGGAAGGCGCAAAAGCTAGCTGCTTTTCGTCTTTAACCACCTTCTCTCCCCAATCAGAGCGAGCAAGACCGTCATCTGCCACTCACGCAAAAGGAGCAGTGTCACCACCCTTAGCGAAAAGTCGTTCAAAATCAGTATACTGAAAGTATACTAATAGCGAACTTAGGGTATGTACTGAAATCGTACTAGTTTCACACTTTTATGAAACAAAATAGTATGCCTTTAGTACACCCCAAGTACGTATGTAGTATACCGTAAGTGCACCTCGAGTGTACTTTTAGCATACTATAAGTGCACGTTTAGTGCACTACATGTGTGCTTTTAGTGTACTAAATGTACACTACCAGTACATATATGCGGAGTGTCCCAAATAACTTGCACCAAACTTAAAAAAAAAAAAGAAAACGGAGCGTTCTGCGGGAGTGAAACCAACTGTACGCTGTTAGAAAGTCTCTTGCGAAAGTGCACGAAATTGTTTTAGTGCGCCTATTTATTTAATTAAGAGTAACAAGCTAACTTTTGAAATCTTCGTTTAAAAGCCGGGGTGTGAAATCGAAAGTTGTAGAGCGCATTAACAAACACCCAATTAAACCATTTTCAACAAGGTGCACTTTGCATGCTCCTTTTTCCTAGCCTTCAAAAAGACGCCCGCGAAATACAAAAAAAAAAAAAAAAAGAAACCGTGACAACTCGCTTCCCCAATCACGGCGTGCGACC